CTATTTTTAATTGTATGTAGTGCTATGATTAATTGTGTTTTAGTGCTATTTTTAACTAGGATGTATTTGATTAAAAATAGCAACAAAATTTTTATTAGCATTTATGAAAATGATAGCACCATGTAATATTAAAAATAGCATCATACACAATTAAAAATAGCATCAAATATGGTTCTCACGGTTCTCACACCAGACATAGTTTTTATTTGAACCAGCCCCTATATATATATATATATATATATGTATATGTATATACTAACTTGCACATACATATTCATACAATTTTCTTATACATACAAACTAAACAAATGCGTGTTTCACTTACTCACTCAATCTTCAACACACAATCACACACACATACACTACATGAAGGACGTGGAAATTCAATCATGAGAAACACCCACCACCAATCTTGAAAACAATATCACAATAAAAATCTCTCCCTATATATATTCCACTCAATTTTCATTCACTCCTCACACAAACTAAAATGGCAACCAATAATTCACCATCCAAGAACATTATTTCATTTCTCCATATTTACACTCTGGTCCTCAGTCTCCTCCTATTCACATGTAAGTCCCGGCCGCCGTTCGCCTGTGACCCGGCCAACGGCCACACGAGTAGCTTTCCGTTTTGCCGAGTGTCGTTGCACATAAGAGATCGGGTTAGCGATTTAATCGGGAGATTGAGTCTCCAAGAGAAAATCAGACTCCTCGTGAATAATGCGGTCCCAATTGAAAGATTGGGGATTAAAGGGTACGAGTGGTGGTCGGAGGCCCTCCACGGTGTCTCCAACACGGGCCCCGGCGTGACATTTGGCGGTGATTTTCCCGGCGCCACCAGTTTTCCGCAAGTCATAACCACCGCCGCTTCTTATAACGCCACCTTGTGGGAGGCCATAGGCCAGGTCAGATATACAATATAAAATTATAATATATCTATGTATATAAGTTATAACATTTATACTTTAGACGAAAAAAAAATAATAAGGAAAATTTTGCAATTTATGCCCCGTAACTTATGGCATGTAGTAATTATATGGACACGTTTTTTTAATATGAAAAATCACGCACTTAATGCCCAATCTACGTACAATTTACCAAATTATGTTGGTTTTTGCCAGTAAATTAGGGAAATAGCTTGTAATTTATCGACAAATTGTACGTTAATTGGGCATATTAAATGTATTATTTTTTAAGTTGATGAACTAGTTTGGCAAAACAAAAAACAGTGTCCATGGCAACATGCCATAAATTACACGGGATAATTTTACCTAATAATAATGGTAAATTCACTTTCTTTTTATTTAAGACGGGATATATATATAGTGTTTTGTTTTGGATTTATTAGCCAAATGTATGAATTGTTGTGGCTAGAGAAAAATATTATTTTTGGAGTAGAAAATTATGGTAGGGTTATATATATAATAATAGTTATGTTATGCCCGTTACAACTTATCTTAGGTAGATATAGAGAAAAAATAATTTTGTTTTGGGTGCATATAAGGACCTTTGGTAAAGTGAGTTCTCTTTGTTATTTTGGGAAATTGACAAATCTAAAAGTGCTGTAGACAGTACGCTGGCTGAAGTCGTTTTCATAGTTTTGAAAGCGTATTTTTCTGTTAATATTATATTAACTGGTAATTTTTGGGTAATTTTATTTATAAATTTTAATGTAAATCAACTACAAGAAAATAATAAAATTTAAATGGTAAATCTCAACAAAAATATATTGTAACGAAACTCCAATGACAATTCTAATTGATATTTTAACGTTGGAATTTCTAATTGATATTTTATTGCTATTGGTTTTGTAAGAATTTTTCATTGAATTCCAATAAAATTTCATGCGAAAGTATTTTGTTGAAGTTAATTTGTTTTTTATTGAGACTTCCGTTGGATATTACTATTCCAATATAAATTTTTCCAATAATATGACCTGAAAAAAAAAATCAATAAAAATTACATATTTTAACAATACAAAAAAAATTGTTAAAATTTTAAAGAAAATTTAATTCTAATGAAAAAATATAATGTTAATCTCCGTTGGGTTATAAGGTAAAATTTCCAACGAAAATTATTATACTATTGAAAATTTTATATCAATGTTTTATTATTAAATATTTTCAGTTAGCCACTTGTCAATCGAACAAGAAGATCTGAATTTTTCGTTGGGTAACTTTTGGGTTCACATGTTTGACGAAAAGTTGGCAGTCGGTTCTTAGTGGTCCGCTTGTAGTCAGACCATACTAATAAATGTTGTTGGGAAAATAGTTTAGACTTAAATAATTCCCTTTTAGGCTCACCTAATCTTCTCAATCACCACAATTATTTTTTACCGACTTTGTTTGCTCATTATCACTTAAATCCTCTGTTTTACATAATTTGAACCCACATACATAAATATCAAAAAATTACACGGAAAAAATATTTCATTAGGTCGAACGCGACTCGTTTATCATATAAATGAACCTGAATTCAGAACGAGTTGAGCTTGGCCCATAATTAGTGATTACAATTTTATTTTTATCCCTTTATTTTTCATTGGGGGTAAATGATTTAAGACATTACTGCCAAGAATGTGACAAAGGATGCTGCCTTCTCCTTTTTCTAAATGTAGACAGGCACTTTTCCCAGTTTTAGGTCGCATGTGACTAACGGTACAACAATATGGAAAAAAAGGAACAAAAGAGATACAAAACCACAAAATTATAAACAAATTTAACCATTATTTTTGCAACTTGCAAAAGGCCTAACATTTTGCCCATACCTAAACAGCATCTGCATGCATGCTTTACTCCAATATCTATGCAATGATAGTCCCAAAGGCTACTATTGTTACACAGCATTGCCATTTGCTTGTGGGCCTACTTTTGTAAACATGCTTTAAAGAATCATCAAAATTTGGACAAGCATATCAAAATGTAATATTCTTGATTTATAGTTTCTTAACCATATTATATTTTTATTATGTCATGACAAGATGTTTGCTTTTTATATACCATTCATATTTAAAATAAGAAAAAAATGATTCGTCTAGGATAAAGTTTGTACGTATCCCTAAACCCAACTTCACCACTTGCATGTGGGCCACGTCTATCATGTTGGACCGAGTAAATGAGTTCATAACCATTTGTTGGCACTGCCCTGTTTAGAGCCCAAGTGAAAAAAAAAATTGCGACTCAATAGCATCATAACATACTAATTTACTATTAATTCCAAAAGAATTCCTTAAAATCTACACTGTTAAATAATTTTACACATTAACTAAATCATGAAACATGATACTTGCGCACGAATTTTGCATATAAAATATTGACATAATATGATGTATGCAATCAATAAAACTATATTAACATAAATCATGATGTATGTTTGACATAATATGAGGAGCCGAGCTTGTGGCTGCCCACTGCGATTTTGTATGTCGGTTGTCGGTCGTTTGTACTCCAATTTTGATCTATAAATTTATATTTAACATTAAAAAAAAATAAAACTATTAACTTTAAACTTAATATTTATATAATGTGTGTAAAACTAAAACAACATGTAATTCCGTTATTCATTAATTTATGTAGCTATAAATTTTTAGGTTGTGTCAGATGAAGCAAGAGCAATGTACAATGGTGGGAGGGCCCGGCTGACCTATTGGAGCCCGAACGTGAATATTTTGCGGGACCCACGGTGGGGCCGAGGCCAAGAGACGCCTGGTGAAGACCCAACTGTAGCTGCCCGATATGCGGCAAGCTACGTGAGAGGGCTGCAAGGCAATGGCATTGGAAACAAATTAAAAGTCGCAGCTTGTTGCAAACACTATACTGCATATGATCTCGATTTTTGGAATGGCATGGACCGCTTCCATTTTAATGCAAAGGTACATATAATATTTCAATTAACATTATCTTTTTATTGCATATTTATTTCTAAATAATAATCATGTTTTTATAAAAATGTATTCATATATGGATTTGGCCATACTAGAGAGTATAATATGAAGGGCNGCACTTGATTAACGATTAAATTATTATCCACAATAAAAGATTTGTGTTACATTGGCTTAAATTATCCATTGGATAGTATTTCGAGAATTGGCCCCCCTTTGCATATAATTAAAAAACATAGAATATCTGAAATGCAAAATAGAAGATAATAAAGGGATAATGAATGATGATAGATGTAACTTGTAAGCACAAAATTAAATGACGAGGATCATCCTTGCACGGGTCTACCATATCACAGTTATGTATCATTTGTGACCATAAATCGTCAAGTGGGCCCGAAAATTCGACCCTATCCAAGCAAGCAAGAATTAAAGGGTGATTAGATATGAATTCAACTAGTAAAAAACTAGTTTTTTTTAATTATAGTTAAATTTAAAAAAAGATAGTATGGTTAGTTGTTAGTGGATATATTAAAATATTATTTAAATTAAAATAATTAAAGTTGATTTGATGTAAAAGTAGGAAAAATGATTGAAAGTGATGGTTAGTTAAAATTATGTGAGTGGGTGAATAGTGAATTAAAGTTGATGTGATGTGTAATAATGATTGATTAATATTATTTAATTATATTGATAATATTAGAGATAGTGGAATTGAATTAAAATTGAGTTAAATTTGAATTTTGAGTTGAATATTTATTATGCAAATTATATACAATCACTACAGCTACCATTACCATATATATGGACCTACCTCGACGACTGGGAATTCGTTTTTTCATCTAAATTTAAAAGCTAAAATTAGAGTTTTGGATTTATTTAGACATTTGATCAGTAATATCCTTTATTTTAGATAAAGTGAGCTTTAAATTGTTTTATATTTAAGGAAATTGATTTTGCAAAAACAGTTCTTTTTATTACCCTGTCTAATTACTCATATTCTTAGTTCTACATACTTTTCTTAGTTCTTAAGATTATTTAGTGCTGATCTACCTGTACTTATCCAATCGGGCTCAATAGACTATTATGCCTTAAAATTGCGCATCTCGTGCATCGCACGGGCTCTGTACTAGTAGTAATTATAAATAATATTAAAAATTATAATTTTATATTAAAGAAGTGTGGTTAACATGTGAAATTTACAATATAAAATTTATATTTATATACAATAAGAATAATGATTTATTAAACATAGTAGTAAAAAAAATTGGAAGCATTTAATGCATATTTTTTTGTGGAAGCTTATTAAATATATGTATTAATTGATTCCGTATATACGTTTTCAAATAAGATCATATCATATAATAAAATTATTGTTTCCTAAATAATTTTATTAATATCTGCAACAATTTCATTGATATCCATTATAATAAAATTACAAGATTCATCTTTCGTAATTCATGTTGATAATATTTTGGTCAAGAAAAAATATTACAACATATTTTAAGTTCTAATCATAATATTAATTTTTTTCCACAAATATTTACTTTTCATCCAAAAATATTTATAGAGAATCTTAACAGGTTAGGTAGAATTTTGTTTCCAATTAATCAAGCGAAATCAAGTTGATAAATTAATCTTTGTCAATATAAATTTTTCTTAAGCGTTATTTTGTTATATATAAAAAATAAATTATTCTTCAAATTAATATAATTTACCATTTAAGAGATAGTGACCAGATACCTTAAATAGTTTTATTAATCGTCAAAAGTTAAATTAAAATATATTAATTGTTCTTTAGAATTTATTTGTAGATTATTGGTAACCATGATTATTTTTTTATTATTTTTTTTATTTTTATTTCTTTCTAATTGAAAAATAAGGCGTATCACCATTTGCTGATATCGGCTCGTGCGCTGTTGAACGTGCATTAAATAATTTTCATTACATAAAATAAAAAGAACAAGAAGACGTACAAC